AGGCTGCCAACTTTGCACCATAAAGGGGATCCTGCGGTGAGATACCCCTTCATCCCCGTGGGTCATTATGGGGATGCACTGACTCCAAGGTTTGCCACTTCGGTAGATCTCGTGGTCCTTGCTCATGGCTCGGAATCGATACCAAAAGGATTCGAACATCGATCTCCATACAACAGAGTTCTTCAGGTCGTGGCCTCCAAGAAGTAGGCTCGGGTGGTTCTCAAAAATGAACTTACACCAAGACCTGACACTCAGCGTAGGCCAGTGTAAGTCCACATTATGAGGCTTTGGCTTCTTCTTCTTCACTGTGACCCGAGTAAAACTCACGTGGATGTCTATCGAGGCTCCAAAGTTGTGAATGAGCGTAGCGAGATCTCTGCAAGAATTCTTGTTGCGGCTGCACTGGGCAAGCTTCCAGAGTAAGTCGTCTGACTTCCCTGGGCGCACAGCTTACTTAAAGGCCAGGACATGTTCATATGGAATCCCATCAACCCACCCACGACCTACAGGACCCCACAGAATAAATTACTGGCTTGTACAAACCAGGGCTCGGTGTTTCCGAAGACGGCAAATTCTGCTGGCAGACGCTGCAACTTGCTTCGCAGTTGTGGCCTTACACCATCCAATTCAGATTGAAGGCTTTTTATAGGTTCAACTCAAAAGGCACTGTTCATGGCAACGGCGTTAATGTGTCAGCCAAAGTACTCCTTCGAAGTAGTCCGCCAGCAGCTCGCTAGCAACCATATCAGACTCTTCATTGTCAAAGTTCTCCGGTTGACCTGATCAAAGTCATCGAACTGTAAAGTGTTGGTAAAACATGCAACCAAATCATGATATATACCGGAGTGTTCCAATTTGCATACAGCCAAAGGGCTCGCTGAGGGAAAAACAAAGCTTTCACCCTGGGGCTCGAGGGAACCTGGCAAGCAATCACACCACTACCACGTCAAAGTGTTGGGCGGACTGCAGGGGCACTCACAACTGCACGCAGCCCCTTTTTTCTCTAGGGCCACCGGAGGTGTAGCTTCAAAAGCACCAATAGTCGGCAAGGTGCATCTCTACCACATCAAAAAACAAAACTTGGGCTGACAGGACGACAGGTCTCTTACTTCTTCTTTCTCTTCGTCTTCGGTGCATCTTGCTGCTCTTCTTTCTGTTTCTTTGCTTTTCTCTTTTTGGATGGTTTGGCACCACCTTCACCCTCACCCTCACACTCATCCGCTTCCGCGTCAGGGGCGTGCTCATCCTTGGAGCGCTTGCGAGTCTTCCCGGAAGCTTTGGCCTTAGCCTTGGGCATTTTGCAATTCCTGACCACGCATTTTGATATATGATGTGCAAAGGGCAAGCAGTTGACAAAGTACACACATCTCACAAGAGCAAAACCGTGAAAACTAGAGGAACAACGGCCGATACAGCTAGCGCACTTCAGTCTGAGAAACCTTTGGCGGGGTTTGCAGACACGGACCTTTCACCACAGGTAAATGCAATACAAGTCTCTCCGTAAGAGTCAAGCGCAAGCATTTTTGAGCAGCGGACTGATGAGCTTTTCTTCCACAGCCTGCCATAGACAACTGTGACATTTATACATATGTCACACGAGACACACACATATGCAGAATTCACTTTTGTTTTTTACAAAGGCGCTCAAGGGTGGCTCTCAAACCATTCTAGCAAATCTGCACGCGGCCTTGGCGACAGGAGATGGCGTGTGGATCCGAGATGCTTCACCCTGATCAGCCAGGCAAGCAGATCTACAGAGAAATCCGGGAACAGTGAAGAGTGAAGGAAACAAAATCACTGTCCTTCTCCAGAGAATGACCAGGATGTTCAGGGCCGCGCTCTTCAACCTACCAGGAACTACCAACCAATTGACTCAATTGATGGCGCTGCGTACTTGCCAAGAGAACTTGATAGGACACAAAACAAAAAATCCAATAGGATCCTAGCTTGTGTTGGCACTTCCCCCCTTTGCTTGGTCAAAGCATGTGCCATGATGCAAGAACTGCGGGTGCCAAATGAACACGGATTTGGGGCCTGCATTTCTTGCATCATGGCGTGCGCCCCTTACCAAACATAGTGCACTGGCCTCCTCGGGTTTGTTGGTTGGAGCCGCCAGGTGAAGGTTGCCAAAGTCATCCGTCAAACCTAAAGGTTCCGGGAAGCACGGGCTTCAACATGAAAGTTTCAAAGCCTCCTGTCAAGTAACCTGTGTGTAGGTCTTCTAGTACCTCATCTTCTGTTCCAGCTTCGCTTTCAGATCCCTCTTCCTCTTGGTCTGAACCGGATTCCTCCGCAGGAACCTCTTTATGTGGCAGTTTGATGTTGAGAGCCCCAATCAACCACCTAATCTCTGGCTCCCGGGGAGTGTGAGGTCTTCTGATGATATCGTTGAAGAGCGTAACGCATCGCCGCGCGGTCCAGGCCAGCTTGGTGATGGTGTTGCCTCACGAGCGCGCTCAAGGCTCAATGGAAAAACTTGGAGAAGCGAGCAGTGAACACGCACGGAAATAAAATCCAACTATATATATATATTATATATACTAGCTTTAGGCAAGATACTACTGCAGGGTATCTTGCAATACCGAAAGAAGCTATCGATATGAAGCTCAAGAGTGGGAACAGCCACTCGATAACCCAAGTGTGTGATTGTGATCTTCAAGAACTTGACATTTTGCCGAACTGTGTCCCGGCAAACGATAGATCCAGTAGTCTTCACCTGAGTGCAAGGGCAAGCCCATGCCAAAGGGCCAAAGCGATATCGGGATATTTCTCACACTTAATTAGTGCAGTGACGTTTTCCCCTGAAGCCACCAAAAGGCCTGAGCACCACACTAATTGGAACGTTTTGGCAGCACGCCGAAGTTGAACACAATTCTCCCAAGCTTTTGCAAGTGGTGTTGCTTGGAGTTCATCTGGGTCCGCATCGAGATCAAGAAACGAAGCGTTTCCAGCCATGCTACTACCAGTGGCCTTTGCAAAGTGAGCCAAAACTTCTGGTTTGGACAGATGACCATGGGTGTGCTCGTGCAACACCTCCCAACACTGCATTCATGCATGCGGGACAGGCATCGACATTGAAAGTCTCGGGTTCGCCTCGTCTCATTGGAAGGTGGACGCCACCGACCTGCCGCACGGATCAGATCCGGAAAGATGCTGGGCAACTTGGCCGGAACCCCCTAGCACAGACCTAGGAGATGTAAGCAGATCCACCACCAGACTAGATGTAAAACAAAAATACATGGCTGGTGAAGGTTTCAATCCAATCAGACTCTTTTGACCCGGCCTCCACGTCACCAGAGCCCAGCCCCCTCAGCCATGTGAGAACCTGTGGGCGCTGAGCATCCGAGGATATGGGCAGCACACCGACCAGCGCATGCAGATGTCAATGCGATGAAAGATGATCCCAGCCCGCCTGTGATCTTCACCACGGCCATAGGGCATGGATGAGCCAAAAGAATGGCTTTTGGCAGTCTGATCACCTCAAACCCTGAAAAACAACACTTTCAGGAGAGTTAGTTGTTTCCAACCAAAAGCAGTGAAGTTAGACAAACTCGAGAACTACTGGAAAATATGCATCGTTCGAAGATCTAGGAATTGCGTTGTCAAACTTTGAGTGTGTTGTGTATGTGTGTATAATGTGTGTACTGTATGTAGACCGGATGACTTGGACTCAGTAGTTAGTGTTGCAATGTGTTGCAAGAAATTGTGCACGGCATGTTGTATATGTTCGGGGGTAGTTAGCCGACATTACAAAATTGTATCACCGGAGAACACACTTTCAAGTTGCATAGCAAGAGAAGCATGTCTAGAGGTTAATTAAGAAGCACAGATGGCCATTGAAAAGAATCCCACCAGGACCATCCGACCATCTGGGTGTCCTGGCTGGACTACCCTACACTGCCATCGTGGACCGACAGGATACCCATCCTGGTCGACAGACGATAGATGACGACAGGCGTGAAAACCCGGCATTGTCCCTCAGGGTGCGGTCCGGTCCGCACGTCCGTTCGCCACAGCCGGTCCTGTACCGAGGTGACGAGACACCGATCTTCCAAACCAAATTCGGAGGTTCGCACAGTCCGACGGGGCCTTTTGGGTCCGGTTTTTGCCATTTTGATGTGCGCTCGCAAGGGTTTTGACGACATCGATCTGGAAGGAAGACCCCAAGTACAAGAGCCTGAGGCAGGCCTCACACCATATGACTCATGACAGTTCTTGCGAGAGGATTCGCAGTCCAGCACAGTTTCCGCGCCCCCGACACTTTTGGCTGGACGACTGTAGTACGTCCAACGCTTTGGCAATTGTGCCGGAGATTGCTGGCTTTTGGACCTTTCTTCAGAAGGTCCAAGTTGTTTCAAGACGCAGGGTTGCTCCGTTCTGTTTGTCTTTCAATGTAGCGCCCAACGGAGGGACATCAATAGGAGCCACAGAAGATCCAAGTGAAGCCATGTAATGCAAATATAACTTATAACCATACAGCACCACTAGGGCCGCAGTAGGTGTTGACCCATGATCGGCATGGAGCAGCCCTGAATAATAGCTTGATTGAGTGAGGCTGTCAGCTGAATCGCATGTTCCACAGCTGTAGCTCATCACACGCGAGCAAAATGGAGACTGGGTGAGGTCCTGGGGTGGTTTTCTGAGGTTTCTAGTCTTCCCCGCCCTGAAATTGGGCATTGGATGGCATTGGGTACCAGAAGCCATGTGGTCCCCTTTATGGAAGCTGTGAACAGTTGGCCACGTGAAGTAAAAGACCCCTGTGTCGGTTCGTGCACTCAGCGCGACTGGGTTGGCGCTGCTGTTTGGTTTGAGGCGTATTATTGTTATTTTAAGATACGTTTCAGGTTGCAGGTGTGTAGTACACTTGTGCAAACTGATAGACGTAATAACATGCAAGAACTAACAAAATAGATGGACCCTTCAGTTCACAAGGAGGGAGTGCCAGTTTCGCAGTCCTTTGCAAGGAAAAATTTTGCCCTGCCCTGAACGCATCAGCCTAGGCCTTGGTGGCCTTTCAAGTAGCCATGGCCGCTCGGTATATGAGCGTTACAAGCTGGGTTTTCCTCGCCACCGGGTGGCACAGGCTCTGGTGCCAGGGATTTGTGGTTTCACAAGCATGTGTTTTTCAATAGCTGCCCCTCCTTCTCATTTGAGTGGTCATTTCAGATGATTTGTCTTGAAAAACCCGTGCCTTGGGATGATTCTGGGATGATGTAACCCACATGAACCCACTAACGAACCGATGGCCCGCGAGCGAGCAGAAACCACCCGTCCCAGACACCGCCAGACGCCTCGGTGGGAGGGACGACAGTGGCAGAACCTGAAAGCTGCTACCGCTACTGCTCATCCTGGAGACTCCTGCTTCATCCGTATCCTTCCAAGGGTTCTGCTATCTGGAACATCTATCTCATGGCAGGAGTGAAGGGTTCTCACTCCTGCGTGAGTGTTTTCCCCCCATGCATCCATGGCCTCTCCGCCTTCACGGCCACTCGTGGTTTCGCCCAGGAAGCCCTGTCGCCCTTGCCGCCGTCTTCGCCACGCTTGGTGCGGAGCTGGGCGCAGGTCGGGTCGGGGGTTCGTCCGTGCGGTCCCGGCGTGCTGGGCAGAGAAGAGGGCGCTGGAACAACGATCGGACTCTCCAGTTCGGTCTCCAAGTACCCTGAGTCGGTAGATGGTAGTAGGGTCCGAAAAGACATACATACCAGCAGTCACAGAGCTCGGGGTGCTATCCATGGAGGTAGTCGGGGTGCCCCTGTCACATCCACAGCCCCTGTGATGGGACGAGCCACACCACCCTGGCCTCCATGTGACGTTTCACTCAGTACGGCTGAAGAGTTCTTTTCATCATACCCCTGTGAGCGATGTTTCACACGGCACAGCTGTTCTTCCAACGAAGAAAAGCAGGCGACCAAGAGTGGTCGACGATGTGACTCCTCATACCATCTCGTACCGACTGGTCGCGGAAGAACAAACATGGCCAGTCCAAGCGATGTTTTTTACAGGTTTCACGCCCCCCAAAAGATCTAAGTATATTTTAACCGATCACCTTCCTGGGTCAACAGCTTGAGTCTACATCATTCGTCAACCTCGGCCCAACCGTAGCACCCGTCGCACCCGTCACACCGTCAGCAGCTCACCTCTTGGCCGCGAAGCGGTGTACAGTTATAGGGGTTTAGGGGTTGACAACTTCAACCCCAATAAGTTTGGGTTTGTTTACAGTTGTTGTTCAACCTATACACTTGTGTTGGGGCTGAACACAATATTCACTTTACTACATTCCCAACTGAAAACCCCTTGCCGCCTTCCAATTTGAGCAAACCGAGACCCCCAATTCAGTTTGGCTTGTCAGCATGTCAGCACGTCGCCCGATGCGTTCTGAAGGATGAACTAAGGTCGCCCTTGTCGCGTGGAAAGTGGTAGGATTGCTGCCAACAGGTCAGAGCCAACAAGGGGTGCTAATGGGTGGTAGGAATCATCCGCTTGAGTTCCAGTGTCTCAGGTGAGGCATCATCCATGCCAGGAGTTTCGCAGGTACCTCCTCTTGGAGGGTCAGGGTGCCCAGAAATATCTACTCCCTTCAAGACAATTGAGACAGTCCTAGTCCTAGAATTGGTTTAAGGTAAAATCTACTGGAAGCCATGGTGTTCACCCGGGTTAAGTTTCCTGTAGGTTTTCCTTGAAACCGATCTCGGGAGACAGAACATCACCCCACCATGAAACTTATTCGAAGAACCGTCGGTCGCCTGTTCTCCGTCTCGCGGAGGCACAGACCTTGCTCCTGCGGATGGACGGGGTTTTCACGACTTTTTTCACGGGGCGGGTGATCCTGTCGGGGCGTCAGACGCTGTCAGGGCTTGGTGATGCACGATGAGATATACGTACGCTTGCGGATTGCATACACATGACTGATCACTTCTCTTAGAAAATAAGGATGAGTCAATTTGACTGGCAGAGTCATCACAAATGTGGAAGTACTCACCCATCAAAGCTTCAGTTGCTATGGCAGAACATGGAACCTGCAACCTGAGTGCATGAACCTTTGTTTTGACCGTTGTCACGGATTGCCGATCAACAATAAATTGTTCATATTTGTTTTGGTGTGCCTCCTGTCAGATGTTTTTGTACATGATTTGGGGACGTAGTAGCTGTTCATCGTCCAGCCGGTCTTCACACCAGCTCCATCCCCTTGACTAAATCCCGAGAGGATAGCACTAAAAGACCTTCAAAGCACCAAATCGGTCTCACCACAACACAACCTTGATATCGCAACTGTCTTAACAAATCACATTGATTGCCAAACAACCCTATATAGAGATCCAGTCGTTCCTTCTCAGAAGGTACTGATAAGGCACTTAGACCCTCCTGGTACCTACATAACAGTGTCTCCAAGTCTCCGATCACCTTTTTCTGAGAAGGGTACGACTGGATTCCAAGGGCAACAACTTCGCTCCAAAAACTTCCTTCCCCATACGGAGACCCCTACCCCTCTCAATTACGGGAGACGCAGCTCCATGCAGGAACAACTGCTTCAGCTGCCTGCAACAGAGTACTTGTGGGGAAGCCAAGGAGTACTTTGCCTGTTTCAGTCCTGTTGTTGGGAACATTTTGGAGGTAAGGAATTGTATAAATTTAGACCATGGTCGGGTCGACTGCAGATCATCTTATGTGTTGGGTTACTGATCGTGGTGAGGCTGCTAGGAGCCCCATGCTGGTGCCAGTGGCGGGTGGACATATGTGGATGTTCAGAGTCTGGTAATATGGCCAAATGATGCCAAAGGTTTGAATTTGAAAACGGTTTGAAAACGGTGCCAGCATAAAAATGATCCTCAGTCATGTTGTCTATAGCTGGGCATTTGGGGGACATTATATGCACATTTATACCGTTCCTGGACATATGGATTATAGATCATCTATATTCATCTATTAAATTATATATGTTATTTATTTGTTCTTTACAATTGCGTTGCGGTGCCGCGTTTCAATGTATTTACATTGGTGCAACCACATGTTGTCCCTTGACCCAGTTGAATGTTGTGGGGCTCGGTGGCTCCAAAGCTGGCTTTGGAGCGGCGAGTGCGCGGATGAATGGTGCGGGGATCGTGAAAAGGTGTGTTGAGGTCGTTGGAACATTCAGATCCTTACCGTGTCACTGTCCCAAGCAATCATACCTGGAAGGATGGCAATGGACTAGTTCGGAATTTATTGCGGTCGTTTTTGGGTTCAAGCTCGCGGTTGAAACGGTGGCAGTGGAGTTGCTCTTGGTCGGAGTCGGCATTTGTTTGGTATACCGGCTCTCCAACCAAAAAGACTATACCAGGATCATCCAATGGGTGTCCAATACACTACCCTACCCTTATAGGTCTCCATTGGCCACCTATTGGTATAGTATTTTTTCGTTGGAGAGCCGGGGTGTTTTGAGAACGGTTGCACGAAGCAAGGCTTCGGACCCAGCTGGAGTAGGTGTCCCGGACTTCACCCCATGTGTGCGGAGTTCACCACCACAGAACGAGTTGATTTGTCGCCCTCCAGTCTTGAAATCAAATCAGAAACATTGTGATTGGTTGAAATGGTTTTGGGGTGCTTTAGGAGACCTGCAGATGTCAATCCAGGACGCAGAGAACGCCAAGAGCTCTCGGAAACCTCAGACGCTCCTCCTAAAGGTCCAGCCTGTCGATGGCGGAGTTTCAGTCTGCCCTCACTGTGGCAGATGGCCGCTGGGCGAGATCGGTGGAAGGTTGGGTGCTGGGGTGAGTTGTTTCCAAGATGGAACGGTTAGACGTTGTTAGATGGTCAAGATGTTACTTCTGACTTAGATGGTTCATTATGTTCATTCAATTTCTATTGAGTGATTTATTTTGGAGTAGTGTTTTGATGATGGCCAAGGAACTTGACCCAAGACACGCTCACAAGGGCATCCAAAGCCAACTCATATCACAACATCAGTATCCGGAAGTTGGATGTCACACCACGTTGATCTTTGTGCCAACATTTTGGCGGACATGCATAAATTTGTAGTGGACTGCAGAGTATGGTTTTGTTTGTATCGATACATTCACTGAAGCCGCAAGACTACGTTCTGCTCCATTTGGAATGTAGAACAGCTGATCGGATTGGGGACTCTCAATCTTGATTTTTCAATCTTGGCTGGAGGGACAACCTAATCAGCAGAGGATTCTATGTGATACTCCTTTGCCTGATGTGACAGGGCTTGAGGTGACAGGTGATGGATGGGACGAGTTGGTGGATACTCCTGCACCGCGCCAAATTCCTGCGGAGGTAGATGATGTTGGATAACATATCATTCAAACAATAGTGAAAGATACATGTTTGACAGAGAACTCAACTTCTAAAGAAAACAACCAACAAGGTTTTAGATAAACATTAATGCTATACACATGTCAGTGCCTTTCCGGGAATTGGTGGTGAAGATTGGAAGCATGAGAGTTCAGGTTTCCACACCGGAAGTGAAGGTGTTAAATAGTGAAAAAATAAGAAGTCAGGATTAGAATGCAAATAATCTGCAGCACCTAAGTGTTTTGGGGAAACAGAGTTGTGATTGTGATGTTATGGGTGGACACAGGCAGTCATGAGTCATGAGTATATGTAGTCCTTTGTCGTCGTTTGTAGTAGTCAATGCTCGAAGAGAACCTAGACACTCCATGGGACTGCCATATATGCCGCCCCATTGACCCCCCTGGCACCACCCCAACTGATCGGCATATATGGCAGTCCCATTAGTCATGTTTGGGCAAAATTGTCCCCAGCTGTGATTTGTCAATCTTGGCTGGAGGGACAACCCCAACTGATCACGTCGATCGCACCTCCGAGATACTCTGGGCAAGCGGGTCAGCAGCGTGCCATGGCGGGTCAGCAGCGTGCCATGGAGGGGTGGTTGACTGTTGTTGACTGGAAACACACATGGAATATGATGGATCAGCAGTTGTTTTTCCAACGAGCCAGTTTCAATATCACTGCCTTCCAGCACTCTGTCGGTGCTTGGATGCTATATATTACTATACATGCTAGGGGCCCTAGGGGTTTCAATAAAGCCACCCGGTGAAGCAACGGCCACTGCTGCTTTGTCACTGGAAGTTGGTGAAGTGGAGCAAGAGGTTCAGCACACCCTAGGAAGAGATTTGGATTGGGAGACCTTGACAGTCTGTGGCTCTTGAAGACCACGGCCGATATGTTTGATTCACTTGGAGGAACAGCAACCGGTTTTCTCTTGCTTTGAAGTTCCTTTTGGACGGGCTTCATACAAAAAAGTCTAAACAAACACGGCGAGCACATTGATCTTGAGACAGAAATTGGAAGGGCTCGTATAGAAAACGTTTGACTCCTATCTCTCCCAAGAACTTTATATTTTGGAGCTTCTGTTGAACGGCTGCACTCCGCCACTGTTAATCAGAAGTCAGTCACAAACAACTTGGAAGAGTGGTGAAGAATGGGGAGAAGGTTGAGAGGAAACTATGCAGAGTCATTGAATCCTTGGAAGGGCAAAGTCTTTGACCAAAGCAAACACGTCCAAGGTATGATCGTTCAGAACATGTTCCAAAGAGTGCTGTGGTCCAATGGCAGTCCATCATTTTCATGCATTGCACAAAGGGAGATCACCTTGAGTCCAAGCCTGGGTTGTGGAGGAAGGACGCGCCTTTCAACTGATCTCATTGTGTGAGGCTCGCATTTTGTCACTTTCCTTGACCTTGCTTGTTCCAGTTAGGGAGGATGAGGTTGAGGTGCCGAAGGACATCCAACTGTTTCTCCAAGTCCAGCCTGCATGGCTCGTTTGCGCACCCGGGTTTGCAAATTGGACAGGAGAAATCCAAGGAGTGCATCGAAAGTGAGCTCCCAGCTGTTGAAGAAGTCAAGGTGTTCAGCACCTTGCGTGTCATGGCAGTGTCTGAACATTTGATGATCCATATCCAGCACAATCCAAGACTTCGCACTTTAAACATCCAGATCGCAAAGCTGACTGCGTGCCGTACTGCGTGCCCACCATCGCTGCTGTGGTCCCCCTCACTCCGTGCCGATCGTCTGGGTCACAGCGCAGGATCAGAGCGAGTCGGATGGCTCCGTACTGGGTTGTCCTTGGGAATCTGAGGTTTTTCAGCGCGGTATCATGCTTGGAAAACCATCGTTCGGGGTGCCTTGATATATCGGTACGTGACCATTGTAACCAACATCAGTACGTGGCATTCACACAATGTCCCACTCATCCAGGGGATTCCGAACCAAAGGATTCCCCCACTGTCCATCACACGACGACCAACCCCTCCGGTCCGAGTGGAAGGACGTCGTTGAAGCACCGGACGGCGCGTCCTCACGAGGTGCTGCACGACTTCTTTGGGTATCGACCCTCCAACGGCGACCTCGATGACCAGAGGAGATGGAACTCGCCGCGGGTTGGGCGTTGGTGGGTGGAAAGCACTTCCACATGGAGCACTCAACTCACTTGTGTTTAAGGCTTTTACTTAAATGTAGTCTACGGCATGCGATCATTTGCTTGTCTATCATCCGTATTCGCTGCGCACACCGCACACGGTTCCAATTTGTGGTTCTTGCCAGTTGTTGCTGGCAGTATAGTTTCGAGGCTTAAGACCATCTGTTGGCCTTAAGCCTGTCTCAATGGTGAACCTCTCAGCGTGTTTGACCCGCTGGGTGTCCAGGACTCCAGAGCAACAGGCGAAAGCCCAGAACTTGAAGCAGTTCCTGATGGCCGAGGAACGCGAGGCGCTGGACCGGTCGTGGGCGTCGCGCCAAGCACCGAGACGGTCCGGCGGCTGCTGCCGTAACCTGCTGCCAGCGGTTGGGCGTCTTACCTTTTGGAGAGGCGGTTGGGCTGGCGAAGTTGGAACGAAGGGCTATGATTTGACTGACCGCGCTGGCAGTCAGGTTCAACCGTATAGGAGGCTGATAACATCTGATAACTATTAGATTCTGTTGGTCTTCTCCATGGTAGATTCATGATTCTCCATCGATTGTCCAACTTGGTTGTCCAGGTTCTGCCTGGACAAATCTAGGCAATTTGCAGAGACTTGCAGTACCGGTCATGGACAGGTTACCTGACGACCAAGATACATGGCTCTCAGGCACTGTCGGCTAGTTTTTTTGCCACGTCAAAGATGTACCGTTGAAGCCAGGTCCTTGCTGACACTAACAACCATGATCCACCGGGCAAAGCCACCCAAGGGCACGTCCAAGCCTTCTTCATGTCACTCACATCGTCATGAGTAGAGTGAGGTGACGGACAAACCTTCTGCATTGCAACTTCAGGCAACATCCAGGATCCAAGTTTCCTTCTCCAACTTTTGTGGATTCACTGTATGAGTCTCCTAAGTTTCGTCACTTACAGATGTATCTCACTGCAATATGTCCAATCCAAAGGGAGGCCACGAGGCGTAACCCCACAGGCCTTGTGTCGGCCACGCCGTCATTCGCCACAGGCCTTCGCCAGTTCCTTATCCTTGCTGTGGTTCCCCTACACTGTCACCTGTCACGCTTGGCCCTTTGCGGCACGGAGTCCCAGCCGAGGTTTTCGGGAAGAGACAACGAAGGGATGATCAGCCATACAAGAACGATCACACACGTAGGATCTGTTGCATTATGTTGGATTCTGTTGGATGGATAAACTTGAACTGGATCTGAAAAAGATGAAGAACAGATGTGGGATACTTTGATTTACAACCACTTCAATGTGACCTCAGATGGAGGTAAAAAGGAATGGACAAACCACGCCATTCATGGGCACAGCCAGTTCAATGGACAGTGAGACATCGGATCCAGTGTTTGTGGATCCGATGCAGTTTGTGTGTGTGTTCTTTTTTGCTTGTTAAACGCCCATCTCTTTGATGATCGATCGGATCATTCAGAATCATATCGCTTGGATCATTGCGTTGGTGCTGTAGAACAGAGACCAAATGAGTCGAAGACCAAAACAGCACCGGCGTCGCAACTCGACGTCTGCCACGTCCGTCAGGTGCGCATCGTGGCAGCTCTGTCAGGCCCTCCGTCGGGCCGTTTGGCGTCGGGCCGTGTGGCGTCCCACCATCCCGCGTGACCTGGTTTTGAGTATTTCCCAGATGCTCCATGGGACCGCCATATATGCCGATCAATTGGGGTGGTGCCAGTGGTGCCAGGGGGGTCAATGTGGGCATAGATTCCAGTCCCATGGAGTGTATGGGTTTTGTTGGCATGGTGTGAATATAGGGCGAGTGAGTCATCCCGGATTAGTCGGTTCCTTCATTTCGAAGTTGGTGAGTGATCTGGACTTTTATCTATTCATCAGTCGGGTCCAGTAGTATACTTTTGAGAAGCTGGCAGTGGTTCCCTATGTTGGACAATTTCTCCAGGTTGCCGGAGGCATGTTCCCCATTATGTCGCGGTCGGGGAACAAACCATTTGCTTGGACAACCACAGTCCGCCCTAACGGCATGTTACTGCTTACCAGGAGCTCCACAAACCATCAAAAACCTGGTTTTCCCTAGGACAAAAGCATGACTTTTTGTATGTTAAAGTTAAAACCTGTGTTCTGCATCTGTTGGAGGGCCGCTGGTGGCATCAGATCTATGTTGCCCAGCCGGGAACATCCCATGCCACCCGACGAATTCGCGAGGCGATGCTGAACGTATGCTGCGGCTGCATTGTGAAGACCTGCTACTGCTGGCACGACAGGTGAACGGCGCGGCGGTTTTGCGCCCCCGTTTGGACTGCCCGGATGCGATGAATTCGTTGGTGGCCAATGAGTAAATCCGTTTTCCACACCTGGAACATGGGATCTCAACGCACGATATACTGGACACCCATTTGAATATGAGCTTTTTCGTCCAGCAGAACTCAGTTGATCGGTGATCTCCACATGGCAGGGGGATGTTTGCGCAGAAGATGCTTGGCCACTGGACAGCACGGGCGGGGGTCATCATGCAGGTTGCTGTGAGTGTTGATTCTGGTGGATTGCAAACCCAATGTGTCCCTTTTGGCCGAATGTGTCCCTTTTCGACGCCTGGCAACTTGACTACTTACACTGCTGTGCTTCAGCCGAACAAGCCTTTTTAACCTGGCAACATTCCACGGCACGATCCATCGTTGGCACCAAGCAACTGAGGGTGTCGAGTGGCCCTTGCTTCCGTGTGAGTGAACGTTAAATTGTTTGGACAGAATCCCAAACACCAAAGTTATAAGCAAGAATATAAGGCAGAACAACAAATCAACAGAATCAGTTTTGAGAAACCCAAGGACAGACGCAGGTATATAGCAGGACAGTAGCAGGAAAGAAGGTCGCAAGGACTTGCAGAGAGGCAGGTAGGAAAGGGGGGCATGTTTGGGTGATTAGTGTGTTTTTGGACCACTGATCTGTTGATATGTTTTGTGTTCTAATTCCAGATAACTCTGGATTGAAAGCTAGTGCAAGTCTGGGGATTTTGGGGCGCTTTACCTGGATGTTTTTTGGGTCATGACCTGCACCTTACGTTGACGCTGAACATGCAAGCTGAAAACACAGATGTGTGATGTGAGGAAAATCCTGTTGATCCCTAGGGCTCCTGGCCCATCTCCTCAGGTTTGGTGGGGACTGACCCCCCAAAACCACCCACCCCAACCATCAAACCACAGGAGGCAGGCCAGGAGCCCTAGGGAATTTTTGTCTTCAACCCATGTGACAAAGACTTGTTTTGGAGACCGAGTGGGCCAATGGGGGGATCCGACGCCGGAAAGGGATGTAGGGAGGATCTGTCGGTGCCACGTGCCAGTTGGGACTTGTTTTGGAACAGACTGTTTTCTTTTTGACTTGAGACTGGGGGGTTGTTTGTCTCAACAAACGGTTCTTGTCATTAATTGGTTGTTTGGACGTCGTTTGATTTTTGTTGGGATATGTTTGGATGGTGTTAACTATTTTCGATCTCGCCGAGGTGCTGTTTCTTGAAAGGGAACCACTATCGGAGTTGATGGTTAATGGACAGATCTTAATTGTGTGCAGGCCATGATTTTGTCGGTGGTTTCCTTTCAAGTGTGGACCACTCGCTAGCCAATGATTTGAGAGAAGCGGCTTCTTAGGTCAACATTCAGCAAAAAGGTTCCCTGCATGTTAGAAATGCACATAATTTATACATCCTTACTGCAGTGCAGCTGGATCTCAGAAACTGCATGGGTTCCGTATACCAATACCGTGGACTTCCCCCCACCGGGCAGTTGGCCAAACCCGCCGGCGCCGGCGCCCAAAACCAAACCGCCCCCCGAGGTTTGGCCACGCTGCCGTTCGATGCTTGGCCACCCTAGTGAGGCCGGGTGGCCTAACGGCCCCATCCGCAGGGTCCCAAAGCACTGGAGGATGGACCCCTCTCTGAGGTCCGGGACCAACCTGGCAGCTCATAGCTCCAGTGCTCAGTTCGATTGATCTGCAGTTGGTTTCAGCGTCAGGTCATGTCAGGTCGTGGGTCGGAATCGGATGCGCGTTCGACGGCAGAGAAGTCCTGGACCTGGCAGACGGTCCGTATGATCATATCAAGGGGCTGTGGGGCTGATGTCAGATGCATGAGGTCAAGATGTCCATGAATTTTCGATACATGAGGTGCAGGTTTCATGTGTTTTGGAACCTGGTGGTTATACGGTGCTCTTGAAACTGAAGCAGGGTGGGTGGGAGATGGCTTGATGTTCAGATTGCATCAAATCCTCCCGGTGCTTGGTTTGCTTGGCCCTCCAAGGATACTTCTTTCTCGGAGAACTTCAAGATTGAAGCAAGTTGAAACTGCCTGGACACGACCCTATAAATACCCTAGAACATGGGACATGACCCTATAAAAATAAGTATACTTATAGTACCCATCTTTGGAGGGTGCATGGTTGAGTGAGTGAGGTCAGCCAGGGTCAGCCAGGGTCAGCAGTCTGCAGTCTTGCAGGCACTCGGGCACAGAGGTTTGCAGTTGGCTTTCGGACTGCTGCGCAGGCGTATACGTACTCCGCTACACATCCGTCGGCGTTTTTTTCGACGGCGGTTTGGTGTGTTTTGATGGCGCACGAGCAATGATGATATCGATTGGATCTGGTTCTTTTCAGAGACTACACCTGGGAAGATGGCCTGGTTTGGGACGAAGAACACCTACGTTTTGCAGAAAGGGTTGACTCCGGTCTGGTGTTGCAATCGAAGGGTCCCATGTATTGAGCCATGTTAGTTGGCTCACTTTTGGTTGGCACGACTTGATTTCGATGTTGGACGGATCACACAGTCAAGTGCTTATAGCTGTTACTGTTTCATCATGTGTGCCTTCCACATGTTGACCATTGTTGACCTTCACCTGGTGCAAAGAGGCGACCGGGATCGGTGTATCGTTTCTTCATGTTTCTTCCGGACAACGGCTTTCGAAACAGGTGCGAATTAAGATGTGCAGCACATCAGGTGCGATGTGTAAGAGTGCCGCATCGTGCTGCCCTTCTGGATGTCACCGGGAACATGCTCAGACGATTTCACCCCATGGCTGTGGGTCAGCACCCGGAGCCCTGAAGGTGTCGGTATAGGTTGATGTTTGGTCTAGGAATCTAGTATGTCGACGTTCATGTTCTATCCCTATAGGGCTCCTGTCCCGGCCCATCTCCTCAGCTGACCGGTGGGGACTGACCCTCCCAAAACCACCCACCCCTGGCCCATCGAACCGAAACGGGTAGACCGTCCACCGGTCGGTCTGTCCGGTGCCATTGCCAGCCCGCCAGGCGATGGATTACCACCTGCAGAAGTCTTTGAGCTGGCCAGGAGATGTGGACGACGACACCCCCTCAAGATCTGATATGGCCAAGGGAGTAGCGTCCGATCGCTCCGTTCATAGCGGTGCCAGGAGCCCCGTTCGTAGCGTCCGATCGCTCCTAGTACGGCCAGGAGCCCCTAGTAGCGTCCTTGCTCCCGGAATGTCGTGATCTTTGGGTGCACGGTTCAGTATCCCAAGGCCAAGCCACAAATCCATACAGGCTTGGCCACATGGATCGTGTGCGGCCGCTCGCAACATCCACCTGGGCCGGTCGCACGTGCCAAGCTGACTTCGGCTGGGACGAGTGGAACCGCCAGCTGGTAGCAAATTCCTTCGTGGGCCTATAGTACTAGGTCCGCCAGATCGTGTCTTGGGGGCTCATTGGGTTATCACATGTGTCTTTCAGTGTCACACAAGTCTTTGGCGGAATAGCAGGATGGCTGAATGAACCAGTTCTCTGCTGAGAGAGGGCCCTATTTGGAAAGACTATGCCGGGCTTAGATTACTTGTACGTATAGCATCAATCAATGATGAATACTGAATTCCCATACACTGAAGAGACATCATTTGTCCAAAAGCACGTATCATGAAAACAATCTGTCCATCAATTAGTCAAGACGCGCTGGGCACGTGGTGGACCGTGAAGAACAGACATAGATTATTAGCATGTTCAAAAGCATGTCCTTGAGTGCGTTTGGTTCCAAAAACATGACAGTCCCACCTGAAACATCGCTCCCAATCCCTGCAGATGCAGAAAGGCTTACATCTCTCTCTCAGCCCATAAGCTCCCTGCCAGGCCTCCCCCCTTCACCTGCTGCGAATTCCACTGCACATTTGGCTCAGTTCATAGGTGTTTTGACCAGGTCGATTTCACTTCGTAGGACGTAGAAAATAGAAGTCTCGCGCCATGAGCCTCTCCAGAATGATGCGAGCTGAAGCCTCAGCTACTTTCAAGATAGTTTGTCGACATGTTTTGACCTATAAGAAAAGCCTAATATGTACTCACATTTCAGGTGCATTGTAATGAAGCTGAACAACTGATTGGGCTGCTGCCTCAGCAAATATCTACGTGTTACGTTATTTATGTCACATTGTTTTAACAACCTCCGCTTCTCTCTTTCTGCCACCATGTTGAACAGTGTTTCAAGATGTTCCTCCAAACCTTCCTCCAAAGAAGATCAAAGAAGGCCTTTAAAGTTGCTCTTCAAGTAATTGTTTTCTCCCCCACAGACAAAGTTGTTGACCCCTCAAACAAGCACTCGCATATCATACTTGTACTTGCGCGTTGGGTCAGAGGCTGTTTCTTCGCCGCCCAGTCCTTTAGACCCGTATCAAAATTAAAACGTCCCGGTCCTCCCAACTCCCTCCCCCCAAAAAAGAACACATCCAACTCATCCAACCAAAACTCCATCCCCCAGTCCGTCCTCCCCATCATCCCCCCCCCCAACGTCCTCCCTCCACTGCCGATGTTTGTTTGTCCTCCGCCTGCCCCAGGTGCCCATGACCGCCGCGCGACTGAGCCGGGCCTCGCCCGCCCTGCGCCAGGCGCGACGGAGCTTCCTCAGTGCGTGACTCGGCGAAGGGGTGTGCCGGCGGACGGGGTGCAGGAGCTCGCGGTTCGAGTCAGTTGGGCTACCAACATGTATAGCAAGCATAGACCTGTAGCCACGAGCTATGTACACGCCAATGGGAAGTTCGCCGAGTGAAATCCAGCTGTGCGAGGGTATTTGGAGGGTCAGACCCGGTGCCATCCACGGAATTCCCTGATGTTGCATTTGGTGAGAAGGCCGGCGGGAGGTGGCTGGGTACTAAGCGGCTTACACTACGGGAGCTGATGATATTGGGTTGAAAATACTCGAAACATGATTTGAACATATATTAATTGAGTGTTTTCTTCTAAAATAAGCTACCAGGCTCCTACCATGGAGTTTTCAATTATTAACCCACGAATGCTTGACAAGGACATCATCTCGATCATATATATATTCTCATTCTTCGATGGATGTGGACTCTTGTGTAGCTGAAAGACAGCCATCAGCCATGCGGTTCAAAGAAACCACTGCCACCAACCCCAAGTATATATAATGTCTTAACTTCTTGCTTAAACAGTGGAAACCAGTGGAACCCGAACCCCCCTCGCCCTCGTTCTCAGCGTGGCCACTGAGGTCGTCGGTGCGTTTGGCCGTCCAGGGCGATGTGATCGGCATCGACTTGGGCGGCACGGCGAGGGATGGATTCATCAGTGCGTAGGGAACCAAGACGACTTCGGGTGGACGCTGAAAAGCTAGCTTAAGCTGTGAAAAGGATGTCAACCATGACGCCCTGATGGGATCATGGGTTTACATGAAAAGCGATGACAGCTGAATCTCTGTTTCCGGCAGATCCATGGGTTTGGGTGTGGGGGTGTGGTTTGGGCGGTTTGGGTTTACGCTCGTTTGATCTCATTTGCTTGGAAAGGTGTGTGGAGGGCATAAGGTTATTGAGTGGCTTGGAGATGGCCTACACTCTTGACCACCGCCTGTGAGGAAGCCACTGAAGATCCACAACCAAGCCCAGACGCTCCAATGTCTGACATAAATACTAACATTCAAGCATGTCAATTCTGTTCTTGAACACATAATGGCTGTCCAAGAGGCGACTATAGCACAAATAGAGCCTCAGGGAAGGGGGTGACACTCAAGTCGACATGTTCTGACCGAATCCTACTTCGAAGGACCGAATGGATCGTCCGAATTTTGGGTCTAGTCAGCCTATCCTTCTAGTGACAAACGGCGCCTATCCTTTTGGTCAATATCCGTCAAAGCCACCTGATCTTGGGCAATTTCATGAACTTCCCCCAACTGCTTCCCGAAATCAACCATCGTATTTGCATGTGTTTGTTATACGGTGTTTCCCCTTCAGAATGCCCGTTTGCATTTGTTTGCCACGCGTGTTTCCCGCGATGTTTTTCCTGAGGAACGACCAACTCCTGCGTGGCCATCATGGAAGGTAGCACGCCCAAGGTGATTGAGAACGCCGAGGGTATGAGAACAACTCCCTCCTTCGTAGGCCGATCAAGCGACGATCGAGCACACGATCGAGCACACCTTTCCACGCAGCGTCCGTGCGGCGTGGCTGCTGCGGGTATCCCAAGCGGAGGTGTTCCCCTCCGCAGCGGCCCGCCCTGGGTTTTGCATGTTCCACCTGCTGCGGGTTTTGGTGCTGAAGACGGAAACGCGGCGGATGGATGCGGACGAGGGGAAACGGGTTCACGAAACGCCAACGCCGACGGTACTTAGTCCGAGGTTTGGGAGCCCACCAGCCACAGGAAGTGCCATGACGATACTGGTTTGGCAAACGGAAGGGTAGTGCACAGAAAGGGTAGTGCTCTCCACACACCCTCCATTTAGCCTTCAAATACTGGTTTGTTTTGGTTCATGTTCCTTCCTTCCTGCTCCTGAGGGACCTTGTGTACTATATGAGAAAGAAGGTTCTAATTAATTATGCGTCGTTCAAGTGATCCCAAGGATATTCAACCATTCCCAGATGATCCAGCCAAATTGTGGCCTATACCTATACACGAAGTGTCCGGGATCGCTGAACAGCTGAACTCACACCGACCGACCGCTTCAGCGAGCCTCACCTTTCCAAGCGGCCAATAGAGCGACCCCTCGGTGGCCAGGACATCCAAGCAAAACCGCCGCCCTGCACGCAGCTGCCCTGTACGATATGGACACAACATGGCAAAACAAATGCATCCAAAAGACACCAACTTTTCGGTGAACTTCATCTACTCGGCTCCACCCTTCGCTCGGCTCCGGAATCGCCTGCCAAACCGCCTGCGCATGGAGGCTTCACCTCCGACAATCAGCGGTTAGTGGGCATTCCGGCCAAGCGTCAGGTCCGGAACGCATGCGGAGAGCTATTGTTTTTTGTTGTCTTTCTGGGATCTGCTGGGTGGACGTGGCGAATGAGGGATTTATGTGATAGATGTGTGTTGCTTTGTGAGGAGCAGAAGATTGAGAGGGAGACCACACGATCGTTACCCGGTAGTGAGAAATTGGTTTTGGCATGTTTTGGGAGAACTCATGAGGTTTGGGGCTGGTCGCAGCCCCGATTAGAAAGATCAAGATCAGTTTCCATCATCGGATCATGGAGGGTGCTTATGTGCTAAGATGTGCTAAGTGTCAGCAAGACCGCCTTGCTGGTATCTCACTGCAATGTCATCAGTTCGAGCTTCGCAGAGAATCAAGTTGCTCTTGGTTTCAGTCTTCATCCTTTGATTTTCAACACCATGTGGGTGTTTAGTGGAAGTACCATCTAAGACACTTGCCATCACATACCTGGAACATCCTGGAATCATGCAAACTCACGTACAGACTGAGAGCCAAACAAGATCAACAATGAGCAATGAGCAATCAGCAATCCATGATGGACCACGGGAAATATTATGTTTATGTGGTAGGGAAGTGGTGAGGGATTTAATGTGAGGAAACTGTTTCGTGTCTTGGGTCCTGTGTTAAAAGTTGAACAGGAGAAGAAATGGAAGCCTTGGACAGTTCTACCAGTTTTCTTCTTTTGGAGCGCTGCACTCGGCAAAACTAAGATAGGCTTGGATGAATCAGTATTGGATTGGGTAGCGAGAGACCCCGACAAAACCTCGGAGACCGGCTTCCATGGAAGGATGTGTGTGATGTTTTTTTTCCCTTTCAGCAGATCAATCCCACTTTGCATAGAAACAGGGCCCTCATTTGCTTAAGATATGAATTGGAACACAATCCATACAGTGTCATACAGAATATGAAGTTTCATAATAATATGATGCATATTTCCAAATTTAAATGCCAGCACCAGACCCCCCTGAAGATGCCTGAAGATGTATTTTCCATCTACTGTAATAACCACCCTTTGGGTGGTGCTGGCATGACCATTTTGTCTCAACTCCATTTCCTATTTGTCAGTCATTCCTTGACCAGTCATAGGACGCACCACCTTCATCTCCCTTTGTGATCTCCCGCACAAAAGCTCCGTAGGCCGTGACCAACGCAGAGAACACCGTTTTTGCCGCCAAGCGACGCTCGGAACAGCTGGTCGTTTTGGCTTGGTCGTTACAGCTTTCACATGTAAAGCAACCCTCTCAGCTAACCCAGCAACATTGCCAAGCAAACCCACCTGCCCAGAAGCTCCGTTCACAGCCCTTGGTCAAGATTTGAGACCCCCCCCTCCAGAGGATTCGGGTCCAGGGTTTACGTCTGGGCGATGCAGAAAGAACCTCGAGGCGCGCGCAGAACATCGTCCGATCACGCTGACGCCGGTGCGGTTGAGGATTGATTGGTCGCTCCTACGATGACGAGGCCACACAGAAGGACAAGAAGGTCCTTCCCTACAAGGTGCATCGCGAGAAGCTCGCTCGCCTCGCACGTCATGTCCTTGTGACACATGACGGTTCGTCCATGTGCCCGTTTCTTTCATTGGCGGAGGACGTGAATGATGGAGATACATGGGTATATTCCGGTGGCCCATGGTGGATGGCTCATCAAACATCAGTCGGGTGTTTCTGGGTGTCATCTCGAAAACGTCCATCACCTCGCAAAGCCTCCTGCGTTCGCCTGGCCTGGCCCGCTGCGCTCCTTCTAGTCCTTCCGCCCCAACGACCACGCACCGCCAAGCGTCACTCGGTGGCCGGGTTCCCTCGGTCCCAGGTGGTGAGAGCTCCCAATGGTGATGCCTGGATCGAGGCGCGTCCCGCCGTGTCCCGCGGAAATCCGTTCTCCTGCGCTCCCTGTGCACGCGGCCGAGCGAGAGCGGCGGAGGGTTCGAAGATGGGTCGATGACGATCCGCCGACCGTGATAGAAGAAAGAAGAGGTCGTACGAACGAGCGAAGCAAAAGGGTCCTTGTCGGTGACTGGAACTGGTCAATGTTAGCAGGTCACCTGCTGGGAAATGCGGAAATCTTCCGTCGTCTTTGTGTTTTTTCTTCGGGGTGGCTCAGTGCGATCTAACTGGGGGCCTAAGGCCCTGTGTTGATAGCTTGGAAGGTTCTTCAGTTCCAACCAGGTGACCAGATTCCCAACAGGTATACAATTATTGTTTCAGTCATTGCTTTTATTATGATGGTCCTCGAAGCCCAATGAAGCGAATTCAATCGCCTTCTGTGCTTTGACAAGTAAACAGTCTTAGTCTTATAGTTTTCTGGGACTGAATTGATGGTTTGTTGCTGCTCGGAACTGCCCAGGACTCGATTAGGGGCTGCCGAAAAGAGTTGTTTTTTCACTGACGCTGGAACAAACTGGCTGCCTGGGTCTATGTAGTGAATCCTGGAGTACGTAGATGTAATTTGAACCGATATGACCTCATGGTTTTCTTTTGCTCATCCCATCGATCTAGGACGATGAAACCAGATTTTCTTGTTCACTCGCCCTGTGGATCCAAGTACCTCAGACAGAAGCTTGTTGACGGATGGCCTACCTGAGCGGGAAGATATCCAGGGGATTGTCGGACAAGCTGCTTGTTTTCGTATCACCGGCTACGGCAAGGGTTTCTCGCCAGAAATTGCATATAGTCTTTACATTGCCAGGTGACTTTTCTCTGAAGCGCACCGTTCACGGGAAAGGCATCCATCTTTCACATGGCACGCCAAAACACCCCTGAAGCTCTCCGCGCTCTCCGTCCGCGCGCTCAGAGCGGGCTCGCTCTCCGTCCGATGCGAGGCGGGCGGCGAGAAGTACGCGCCCAGCCAGATCGGCGCCTTCGTGCTCACCAAGATGAAGGCAGGCGCCGTTGGGACGGAGGCGACGATGGTAGGAAGCAGCTGATGGTGGACCGAATGGAGCCGGAGGTGACTCCTGCGTTTGGTGAAGGAAGGAAAGGCGTCCTGAATCCATGTTACAGGCGTAGTGAGTAGTGGAAGTGGTGTGGCTAGTGTGGTTGTGTGGCCACTTGCAGACCAGAACTCATGCAGAAGTCCTTTTCTGGAATTTGGGCCGCCGGGTTCCTAACCTCAAAACCTTGGCTCGTAGGTGGTACGGTCAAATCCCATCATCCAGCTTCTTCAGTTCGTGACCTTTTGAAGGTTCCTAAGTGACCCTTAGGAGGCTTAAGTGACCTCAAACCAGGTTATCAAAAGGTCACTTTGAAGAACCAGGATGATGGGATTTTACCGTCACTTAAGCCAGAGGGTCACTTAGGAACCTTCAAACATCTTCAAAAGGTCACGAACTGAAGAACCAGGATTATTTTCAATGAATTTACTAATTTCCTGTCTGAACCTTTCCGTCCAGAGAGGCAGAGTTGTTGGCTCGACTATTGAAGTCCGCCCCACGGAAATCCCGGCCAAAGTCCGCAGCCGTACAGAACAGGGGCCAACCTCCCACGGTTGGTCGGTCATTTGAGCCAGAAATGATTCGCCGGAGGAATTGATCGCCATGCGAAGTCGCTTTCCCGAGCTCGAACTCTTATAACGCATCGATCCGTTTCGACCCGTGATGAAGTCAGCCGAGTGCATGGTGAGTAAGTTCACCTCTTAACTTACTTCCATCAACTTCACTCAACTCACTCTACCAAAACCATCCACGGAGCTGGTGAAGAGCCAGTTTGATCGACCCGGCGCCTCCAGGAAACCGCTGAAGCTTACCTGGGCCGTCCCATGGCTGTTGGGAGGATCAAATCCAGGATGTGGTGGACAGTGTTCGGTTGTTGCACCCTGGTTCACCAAGGTCTTCGGAGGAAAAGAGGGATGGAATCCATGTTTGGTCGAATTCCGTTCTTGTGTTCTCTCCTGGTGTCTCTCAGCAACTGTGTCCTGGTCTCGGCCGAATCCACGTCCTTTCGACCCCAGAGGTCCCAGTCGTCGTCCGTGGAACACAACGGGGCAAGCTGGGCCGTCTGGATGGGCAGGTCTACAGCTTTGGATGCCCCAAAGGGGCAAAAGGTTGGCCAACTAAAGTGATCGATGTAGATCAGCAGTGATGGATGCAGAGGTTACTGGATTTGGTCCGTCCGCAAAAGGAACAGGCTCATCGAACCAGCTCATCAGATTTGATTGGTACCATCTTTAAAGTATCAGATCAGACGAGCATCAGGGTCGCGCCAGGATCTATTGGTTGGTAAGGTACCGGCAAACTGATAGTCAGTTTGGATGCCCCGTATTATGCTGTACATACGGTATGTCTTTGATTATATCTGGCTCCGCTAACCGCTGACCACCGCTGTCCACCCGTTCACCAATCAGTGAGTAAACCTGCTGCCAAACGCACAACGGGTTGACCACGTTTCCCAAGCACCTAGAGCAAGGGTTGAGCCCAATAAGGGTTACGCAGCTATATAGCGCAAATGACACCATGAACGCCGCGCTTTGCCATCACCGGCAACTTAGAAGAGGAAGACATTCCTCTCGTTTTTCGCATTCAATCGCAACTTCCTCGCTCATGGCCTGCTCATGGCTTCGTTTCTCCATCGCGAAGCAAGCAGATGCCAACGATTGGCGGCACCGAGGAAACGTTGGGAGCGCCGTGATCACGGTGCCTGCCTACTTCAACGATGCCCAGCGACAGGCCACCAAGGCCGGGGCGACGTCGCCAGTCACCACGACCGCGGACTGAAGAGCGACCGCTTGCTTTGGGACGAATGGCCCAGTTTGATTGAAAGTACTTGTTTTTTTTTGGGGGGGGTCACATGGTTGTTCTCCATTTATCGATCTTGTTTTTACTGCTTCTTCTTCATGAGCTTATCTTGGAGTCGCGACTGATATGACATATGGGCTCCGATGGACACAATGTCGGCGACTGGGATGCTGTTTGCCTTCTCAGCTGAAAAACATGTTCAGTCCAGTCAGTCCAGTTCCAGCAAAGTGCTACAGGCTCCATGCGATATTTGAGTTGACACACCCTAAACCCCACAACTAAATGAGTCCATTTTGAAAGTCTACCAGACCAAACCACCAAACCCATAGTGTCACTGGGGCCGCAGGGTTGTTGGTGTGACGTAGAACAACCGTTTGGATGTCTCTCATTTCACCGCCGCAGGACGCGGGCAAGATTGCCGGCCTGGACGTGGCGCGGATCATCAACGAGCCGACGGCCGCCGCCTTGGCCTTCGGCATGGACAAGGCACCCGGCCGACGGCCCACGCTGTGCGCGCCCGGCGAAGAACCGACCGGACGTGGTGGTGGGATGTGTTTTTGTGCTCGCTGCTTGGGTGCTTGCTTCGGTCGGGTGTAATGTAGTCCCTTGATTTATAAACCCCCCCCTCAACAACCAAGGCCTCCAATATAATCTATTAAGAAAATCAATCAATTGATAATTAAATAAGGAATCCTTAGCTAGCTACCTCTGGAGCTACTCTGGCAATACTAAAATGAAAGGAATCAATAAACCTAACTTTGAAGACATCTGGAATATTAATTACAACAAAAGGGAATCAATGGAAATAGAACTAACTTTTTAAATTTCGATGGAAATCTCAATCCAAAGACCTGCAACATCATTCAATCCCAATGGAAATCTCCAAATTTTGAATAGAAATATCCATCAATATTTTGTTTTTTTTTTGTTTTTCATTAGTTTTAAATAAGGGATTTTGTAAAGAAAGTGCGCACTGACTTTTGGAAGTTTTTGGAAAGCTTAAAGACTAAAGAGCTTAGGTA